TTTTTTTTTGCACTAATGCACGATAAACAATCGGAAGCTAATGGAGATTTGTTTTAAAATATAAACCTGATTTGTTACTCGTTATTCGTTACTCGTTACTAGTTACTCGTTATTTGTTATTTATTATTCGTTATTCGTTACTTGTTGCTGCATAGAATTCTAATTTTTGCTCGTTATGCTTTGTGCCTGTCGTATAACTAGGTGTGTTGAGCTCTAGTAATTCGTAAACGCTGTTTGAATCGAACAATGTACTAAACAAATGCAAAGATAATAATAATAATATTGAAATGCTCTCGCTGCATTGATATTAAACAATCTGTGATGGCCATTTTACAGGATCTGATGGTCGGCGATGAAGCCTCAAAGCTGCGCTCACTACTGGAGGTCTCCTATCCCATGGAGAACGGTGTGGTCCGGAATTGGGACGATATGTGTCACGTGTGGGACTATACGTTCGGGCCCAAGAAAATGGATATTGATCCGACGAACACAAAGATCTTGCTGACTGAACCCCCCATGAATCCCACAAAGAATCGCGAAAAGATGATCGAGGTAAACCAATCTTGTATCCATATCTCTATGCATTGCTCTCATTCACTTCTTTTATATATATTCTCTTTTACAGGTGATGTTTGAGAAATACGGTTTCGATGCCACGTATATTGCCATACAGGCGGTATTAACACTGTACGCCCAGGGTCTCATATCCGGCGTGGTGATCGACTCTGGTGATGGCGTCACGCACATCTGTCCAGTCTATGAGGAGTTCTCGCTGCCACATTTAACGAGGCGTCTGGATATTGCGGGTCGAGATATAACGCGCTATTTGATTAAGGTATATGCGCATTCCACATATTGCTTAACTCAATGTAATTGTTTGATTTGCAATCTTTCAGTTACTTTTACTACGTGGCTATGCTTTTAATCATTCCGCTGACTTTGAAACGGTGCGCATCATGAAGGAGAAACTCTGCTATATTGGCTACGACATTGAGATGGAGCAACGGTTGGCACTGGAGACCACGGTGCTGGTGGAATCCTATACGGTACGATATGCTTATGGTGTATATGCACATGTGCACATGTTTTACATTTATGCTTGGGATTGGATTTCAGTTACCCGATGGCCGTGTGATCAAAGTGGGTGGTGAGCGATTCGAAGCGCCTGAGGCGCTATTCCAGCCGCATTTAATAAACGTTGAGGGACCCGGCATTGCGGAACTCGCCTTCAACACGATACAGGCGGCGGACATTGACATACGACCCGAGCTCTATAAGCACATAGTGCTGTCTGGCGGCTCGACCATGTATCCGGGTCTGCCCAGTCGCCTGGAGCGTGAAATAAAGCAGTTGTATTTGGAGCGGGTACTCAAGAACGATACGGAAAAATTGGCGGTAGGTCGTTCGCTCTCCTATTGTATTTCATAATTATAATCATTGACTTCTCTTTTCCTAATTTGCAATTTGTAAAGAAATTCAAAATACGCATTGAGGATCCGCCGCGTCGCAAAGATATGGTTTTCATTGGTGGCGCTGTATTGGCTGAGGTAACGAAAGATCGCGATGGCTTCTGGATGTCCAAACAGGAGTATCAAGAACAGGGACTCAAAGTATTGCAGAAGCTGCAGAAGATCAGCAAATAAAGCAATAACAACCATAACAACAACAACAACAGCAACAGCAACAACAATAACAATAACAACAATAGCAAGAGCTAACGATGATCAATGATGAGCAGCAGCATTTGCATTTGCTTAACTTAAGTTAAAAATGAGTATAAACAAAAAAGGAGATATAATTTTAGTGCACATTGCCAGCTAGACAATGGTGTTTGGCTATAGTTTGCAAATGGGGGCGTGCACTATCTGTTCATTCAGTTCTTACTATTCGTAAATATGCCCCTCCTTGTTTCATACATACTACATTCGTATATGCACAAAAGTAAGAGCGTACTTTTCACACACACCAAACAAACACCTTCTTTAATTGCTATGTTATAAACGTATTGCCAAATTTTGTATAATTTGTCTGTTTGGCTCTAAATAATTTAAGCAAATGTCATAGTTTTGTAATAGTTTTCTTTATTATCATTAAGCCCTTGTTTCCCTTGTTTTCAATACTATATTATTATCTTTTTTTTCTTACTAAATATATATGTGCATAGATTGTATTGATATTTTTGTAAACACAAGTATCTTTTCATTTGTGCTTTAGCCTAAAATCTAAACCCAAGTATTTTCATGTTTCCTTGTCAATCTAAAACAAAAACAAAAGATAGAATGAAAGAAAGAGTATTTATTAATCAAGTCTGGGCATGTTGCTTATAGTTATAGCAGCGATTATAAATCGCCTGGGCATTTGTCTGTGTGCGAGTGCGAGTGTGTGTGTGTGTGCGTGTGCGTGTATGCTGGCGTGTGTGTGTGTTTGTGTGCGTGTGCGAAAGAGACAATGAGTGAGCTGCATAGTTAAAAGTGAAATAAATACATACATACATACTTATATAGATAATGATTTGTGCTAACTAAGTTAGTTGTCTGCAGCTGCGTTTGCTAGTTCATATTGCAATACATGACTGCCCATAATTTTAAGCCTACTCCACTAAAACATAAATCAGTAAAACAGCAACAACAACAACAGCAATCAAAACTCTTGTTAACGTTGTGCATATTGAAGAATTCAATAAACATTAATTGTATGTATCTATGAGAAATGTTTATTATTATTATTATTATTATGATACAACGCAACGTTGGAGACCTGAGCAGCTACATATAACATATAGACAATACTCCTGCATCAGAATCTTAGTTGCCTAACGGTATTCTAGATATATTCAAAGTTCAATTTAGGTTGACAGTCTAGGTAGCGCAATTAATTGTTAAGTGTATTTAGCCAAATTCGAATTATCGGGATTCGAGACCAAGATTAAAATTCGATTTTTAAAGATTTGTTACTGCATTTTTTAACACGCCTTCAGAGCTGATATATGTACTTTGTTAAACTTTGATATCCTTGACTTTTTTCCTCTATTTGTTATTGACAAATTTGAACTAAGCTAAGTTAGCTTCAACAAAAACAAATATTGTGTTAAACAAAAAAATTCTCTAAATACGTATCAGCCCAGTTTATAGATAGCATATCTCCAATCATCAAATTCCTTAAAACGGTAAAACTAATATGCTCTCTTCACTTCGCCTAGCCTTAATTAACGAACCATATACAGAGTGGGGTTAAAGAAAAAACCCAATGCTCTTTTGCCGTAATTTTTATACCCTGAACCCTTTGAAAATGGGAAATCAGGGTATAATGGTTTTGTGAAAAAGTATGTAACGGGCAGAAGGAGGCGTGGTAGACCCCATAAAGTATATATATTCTTGATCAGGGCGACGAACTGAGTCGATATAGCCCTGTCCGTCCGTCCGTCCGTCTGTATGAGTGCGTCGATCTCAGAAGATACAAAAGCTAGAGAGCTGAAATGCAGACTCGTGTATACCATACGCAGTACGAACTAGTCTTATTTTTTTCGATAAATCATCCGATAGCCTTTTTATCGAGAACAATCGAAAGTTTGATTTTGTGTTTTCAGCCTTAGGCCTGGAGACTTCAGATTTACTGTGTATATACATATGATGAATACAAACATTTTGTAATTTACAGATTTTGGATACCACGCCCCCTTCGCCCACAATTTGTAAAAAACGCATTTCAAGTACTAGAGAGGCTTAAGTCGAGCAGTTTCGCCTAGAGCCTTCTTACTTGTTTTCTATACAAAACATATTTTTGACTAAGACATTTTTGTATTTCATCCATTAGAATTTATTTGATCAAGTTTGGTAGAATTGTATTTTATGTAACTTCCCATCCAGAACAGGCAGCGATCGTTCTCGGATCCTGGTCCTTAAGACCTTACAGAGTTTAAGGCTTGTTGTCATAAATCTGTGATTTCTAATAATCCAAAAATAAGAAGTCTGGAACGGCTAAGTTGGCTGATCGGCACAGTTAGAAATAAGGGATTGAACGACCTGGATATAAATGCTACATTTGTTCTTTCGTGAGCCGTCTGGCTTATCAATTTATATTCCGCCAATAACCATTCCAATCGGGTAATTACCTTTGCCCCACTCTGTATAATATCATTTACTTACATACATACACACTTATTTTTGACATCAGACCCTGAAATAGATGAGCGAAAACGAATGAAAAAGTCGCTTGAGTTTGTTAATTTAGAGTACACACTCATACGTAGACACTGCAGCTGTTTATTTAGACTTTCAAAACGCATTCGATACATTTATTGTTACAACAATTCTATAAACGTTTTTAGTACAGTATATATATATATATATATGTATATATGTTGTATATGGCGGTATAACAGATTTGCTATGGGGGGGCGACATCGACAGATGGATCAACACTTAAACAATTATATAAACAGATTCAACGATTGCCTCGTCCTGTAGCCAGCCCCGAATATCTCGTTCGTTGTGAATCTTAAGTAAAAATATCAGTTTATATTGTATACACTCAGATGTTTTAAAAACGAAGACCAAAAAAAAAAAAAAAAAAAAAAACGAGGAACTTAATCTCGTTCATTTAACTATTTCTGCGTGTACATTAATACATGCATTAGTAAGTGTGTGTGTGTGTGTATGTGAAGCATGTGTGTATATTAAGTTTAGTCAGTATTTAGTAGTAGTTAATAAATAAGTAGAAAATACTTTTGTTTCACTTGATACACAATACATATAAAAATACAAGAGGGTCCATAGGTTACAGCGTTTCGTCGGCTTCTTGATTTGTTTCATTTATAATATTTGTTTTTTTTTTTGTTTTCATTTTTATTTTTGTCTTGCTTTTATTTATCTATTTAATTTGTTTGTAAATATCTTAGTTTAGAGAAAAAGTACACAAAATCGAAGGAGTTGTTTCAGTTTCACTTTGGTTTGGTTTCGTTACATTTCGTTTCGTTTTCATTGCACAAAATTAAAACCAATACAATAATAGTTTATGCGTGTAACGGTTAGTGCTTTGCGCTCATATCTGTGTTGGTGTGCATGCGATTGGCTGTTCTGGGCAAGCAGTTAACAAGGAATTGACAAGCAGTTGGCAAGCAGTTTAGTTACTTTAAAATTTTCATAGCATACTTTTGAGCTGCTGCCATTTCAAATAGATCAGCTAAATATGCGTAATGTAGCTTTGCTATGTTTGTTTGTTTGTTTTTGTTTTTTTTTTTGTACTTTTCATATATGTATGTATATATGTTTGCTGTTGAGCTTGCCCGTCAAAAAGTTAACTATACACCGAATGAAAACAACATTAACAACCAAGCAGCAACAACAACATCAATATCAACATCAACACCAACACATACGATGTATTCAAACATCAATTGTTTGTTACCAGCTCTCGGCAAAAAAAATGTGTATATATATGTATATATACATATATGTATGTATGTAAAAGTTTCAACTGTTTATAACATTTATTAGCTAGTCTGCTGTATCGGTTAGTTCTATGCATTTTCTTAGTTTAAATATTACGGCAATAAAATAATGACATATACATATATAAAAAAATAATGTATACAATATTAATAATAAAACTATACATATGCACACGCACACACACACACACACACACACACACACATCCACCCACATGCACATTAATAAATATATGCCATATTTGCATATTTGCTATGCCTTAAATCTAAGGAAACATTAAATACATCTAAAGCCACATATGCGTATTAGTTCAATGTTGTGTATGTGCTTGTGTGTGTGCGTGTGTAATTTGCTTAGTTATTGGCATTACAATTATAAAGTTATATAAATTAAGCTACCATATTAAAGTACATACTTAG